ATATCAACCATGTGTAAATAATGGGTGAGTATTTTAATTATTTCTTGTTTTTTTATAACATTTCATTCTCTACATAATTTAATTATCTATTTATGACAATAATTTCGTTTAACATAAACCAATTTCTTGCGCAAGCCAAACTGTGGAGTTTTTTTGCTCACATAGAATGCTTCGTGCTAGGATATCCAATAGAGTCAGTTTCGACAGAGAGGATGACTTTATATAGACGAAAAATTACAACTAATATTTATTTCGATCAATACTTTCTAAACTGAAAGGAATCTCATACTTACAGGTACAAATGTACATATAAATTTATTATCATTTATACTTAATCACATGTTAAATATTCACATTTGAATCAAAATTGTAAACTTCATGCATTTTCTATTATGTGAATATGTGAACATTAATTGTTATTTACAGATATACAGATGACGGCACTGTAGGTAGTTATTAACTTTCAAAAACACTTTCGTAACGATAACGATGAAGAAGAAGATAACTCCAGCATTGGTCTAATACCAAAGTAGGAAGAATTTTTGTTTTGAGTTCTCTGTTTTCCTTCTTTGCAATTCTACTTATTTCATTTCATAAACATTTTTCTTTGACTATATTTGACAGAAATATCTTTTCTACCATCTCACAAAAGGATAAAATAAGTCTTCATATTATTGACAAAACATGTTACTCTAAATGCCTCTTGATTATTCAGTGTTCTGTCATATTGAAACTTTGTGTGCTATACAATGGGAATTCTGTATACAATGCTAACCTAACCTTAAAAATAACAAAATCCATGCATTGCACGGACCAATACTAGTTATCTCATAAAAGCACCATAAATTCCTCTCAGTAGAAAGAATAAAAAATTCCAAGATTTTTTCTACGTGTTTAAAGCCCGATTGATGGGTAGAAGTTCTTGATTGATTGAGAGCTTTATACAGGTGTGATTATGTACATGATAAAACTTACTTCTTTATAAGTTTTTGAATTTTGGATTATAAAGATAAGAAAAGGTTAGGTTGACTCGAAAAAATGAAAATTATATATGTACTTGTCGTGGAATGATATCTCAGCTGAATTAAATAGTATCCATTGGGCTTAATTTGTGTGATTAATTTGTTGACCTTATTGTTTAATTAGCAAAGAAGAT